ACAACACCCTCCCCAGAGAGAGAACTTACGCCATGAACGAAACAGCCACGCAGGCTGCGAATTTTGGAGCGGAGGTGCCAGAATGCACAATCTTTGCAAACCGGCTGTGTGCTGCTTCTGGAGCCGGAAGCCTGTGAGAAAGGCCGAGCTAGGAAACGATTTGTGGTCGTGCAAGTTGCTACGAAGCGATTTGTCGGCCTGCGAGTGCCTGCAAGTAGAAAGCGATTTGTCGGCTTGCGAGTGGTTTCGGAACATGTACATCAAACTTTGTAGCGTCACACAAATGGTTTGTGGGCTTGCGAGCGACTCGGAAGCGATTTATGGGCCTGCGAGTGGCTAAGAAGCGACTTGGAAGTGCTGCGAGCTGCCAGAAAGCCCCAGAAGCCTGCGAGTGCTGGTTTGCAAGTCGCAGGCCTGCGAAGTTGCTGGCTGGGTCGCCTTAAAGCCGTTTGGAGGCTCTTTGCAAGCACTTTTGAGCTCCAGAGATTGCTTGAGCTCGGGCCCCCACGTTGCAGAATCGACAGACCTGCGAAGTGCCGAATTCTGACCCAGGTCTCTCGAAACAAGGCCTATAGCCAACACAGAACATGGAACTGGAACACTCTCCCCAGAGAGAGGTGCTGTGTGCCTGGAGTGCTCAGAGAGGGAGGGCAAACCTGGCGGACTCTTTTGCCACCAAGAGTCCCGAAAGCGCGACCGCGGAACAAAGCCCAAGAAGGCGAAACCTGAACCACCACAGGTGCCAAAGTCCAGGACATCGACACTCCAGGACACCGACGCCACCAAGAGTGCCTGAGCCGCGGATCCACAGGCCGAGCTGGAGGCCGCAACTGAGCCCTGGCGCCTGCTGAGCCAGAGCTGGCAGCCGAGGAACCACAAGCGGCAACCCCGGAGAGCTGCACAGGAGCGGGTGGACCCGTCCAAGCGGGCAGCACCGCCGGCTCAACCCTGGGATCCACAGTAGAGTCCCGGACCGGGGACGTGTCGGACACCAGCAGCGATGGCAGCGCCACAGAGTGCCCAGACGGAAGCGGCCGTGGGCCGGCAGCTTGCTGAGCTGACGGCGGCTTTGCAAAGGGCCGAGGCATCTCACCGGGAGATGCAAGCAGCGCTGGGCACGTCGCAGGAGCACCCAGCGGTTGGAAGCCCAGCTGCTGTTAATGCAGCAGGGGCAAGCGGGAAGCTCCACTTGCACTTTGCGAAGCACTGGAACCCCATAGTGACGATGTCCGGATCGGCCCTGGGCGCAGCCCATGCTCGGCTTAGAGTGCACCGATTCCGACACCTGTTCAGCACAAGGTGTTACTGGTCGCTGGCAGGATGCCACAGAGCAAGAAGCAGCGGTGGCCGAAATGCTTCGACCGTGGTGCGGGTAAGTGGCATGCAATGGCCTCCCCTGCAATCTGTGAGCAGAATGCCGTCCGAGTGGGCACACCACATGCTGGACAGGCGACCACACAGAATACATCCCCAGCGCCGGCCAACGACACTGTCCCGCACCGTCAAGGACCCACGGCTCAGAAACTGTGGTCCGAGCCCGACTCGCCGCGGTCTGTCAGACCACTGACTGAGCTTGGGCGTGCGGGATGGGTAGGGCGAATTGAACAAGCCAAGCAAGCCAACCAAGCGGGGCAAGGAGCAAGCCAAGCAAGACATGACGCTTCGGCAACCCCAATTCAATCAAACACATCATCTTTCGGCAAACTCAATACATCCGGCTTGGACAGAAATTTGGAAATGTTCGGCGAAACTTGAAATGTTGGTTTCTTGATTAAATTGGCTTGCTAGTGTGCTGCAGCTGAAAATTGCGGTTTCTTAATGGTTGGCTAGTGTGCTGCAGCTGAAAATTGCGGCTGTTGTCAATTAAAGGCCAATTCCAGGGTCCAAGCAAACGCTTTTGAGACAGCCATGGGCTGGAAGGATTCTAGGGCTGCTCAACTATTGAGGAAATTGGTTTTGGCCTTCAAACCCCACTGATCCAGCCCCCCACGGATCCAACCCCCAAAACGAGGACGCCGATAAAACATGCTATGTTGTACTTACGTATATCATGTAAGTTCCATATCTACTTAATAAATTATATATGTGCATAGTAACCCACATGCCCTGCCAAGTAAACCCTAGGCCCTAAACCCTAAACCCAAAAACCTAAACCCTAAACCCTGAACCCTAAGCCCTAAACCCTAAACCCTAAAACCTAAACCCCAAACCCCGAACCCTAAACCCCGAACCCTAAACCCGAAGCCTTAAACCCTAAACCTTATACCCAAAACAACACTGAGCAAGGGGGGGATGGGGGGATAGGGGGTCTCGAATGCCGCTGCTCAGTAGCGGAGTGTCGTGCTCGAGAACCGTCGGCCCCGTGCACTGAGCATGCCATGTTTCCACATAGATCCCTGCTCTGATGTCTCACGAACTTGGTGTTTCGAAGTTCACGTCCACAGGCCGCGCCCTAACCAAGAAAGCTGCAAAGGGCCAGTAAACTCTTCTGAGCTCGGACGTATGGATGCAGCAGCTGTCACAAGCTGCAGGCCGGGAGTTCATGTTGACACTCTTCAGTTACTGTATAATCGAGTATATTATATTATAGTATAGTATATAGTAGATTGTAGTAGATTATGGTCGAGCCTTCCAATTCGTGCCATGTTCGGAGCTTGGAGGATTTGAGGCAGAGTTGTGCTCAAGCTTCGTGGGATCTGTGTTGTTCCTTTTCGATTCGTGACGAAGAGCAGATACAGCTTATCATGGTGGGAATCGGCCAGCTTTCCTGTCGCTAGAGCCACTACGGTGAGGACCGACAGCAGTGTTGGGGATACTTCAAAGAGCATCTTCGGTCTAGTGACGTCTGGATGCAACTAGAATTAAAAGATCTCGCAGGACCTAGGATTTTAAATCCATTTGGGCGCCGAAGGCCGCGGGCCATGTAACCCATTTCTGGAGTGGTGTGGAAAGAAAGAGTGAGTGGGAAAGGTACGGCTTCTGTTGCGATTGCTGCACTCTAGATTCTACATCTTCCGATGGTTGAGATTCCCTCTGAAGCACAAGTCAACGAGAGGCCTGAAATCTTATATTACCATGGTTCAAACTTTAAAATCGAAAATTTAACCCACGAGAACCCCTACACCTGAAATCAAAAGGGCCCCCCGATCCCCGGGAAGTTTTCGTCTGTGCAGTCCGTAGTCCGTGCAGGCAGCCAGAAGTTACCGACAGCGGGCCTACCTCTCGAAGAAGCCTGGTTTAGGTTTACGGTCTGGGGAGTTGAGGGGCTTAGGGTCCCTAAGCCCTATGCCCCAAACCCAAGTTTTGATGGTTGGGGCTTCTGGGCTCAGGTGAGGTCTGCGAGTTGCACGGCTTTTGGTATTTACTTGCATGAACACAGCAAGTTTGGTTCAGGTCATGAGCATGATTTGTCGCCTCTGCGACTGCAGACGTCATCCTCGCCGTTTTTGTCTTCATTGCTTTTGTCATTCACCGTTTTCTTTTACCCGACGACTCCCATTAGCGTGCCTTGGTGAGATTACCACAGCAAGCACCACCAACAGTGCCGACTGTTGACGCTACTGTCATTCCCATCAATACCGTTATCGCCTGGTGCCGAAACTACTTTGCATGGTGATCCTGATGAATCGTACTACTGTTTTTATGTTATTGCAATTCTGCGTCTACCCTTGTTGCTAGTACCTGCATGCTACTCCTGCTTGGTGTGATGCTCCTGCTGTTGTTACCACTGCGTTTTTGCTGTCAGTTCAAGCGTTGTTGTCATCATTGTAGTGCTGCTCTACGGAATGATGTTGGTACTAACGCTTCATGTTGTGGCACGGTCTTACAGTCTCTCTGGGTGGTCACGGAAAGATTGGGAACACCCTAAACCCTAAACCCTAAACCCTAAACCCTAAACCCTAAACAGTTCATGGCTTGGCCTGCGACAGACGCTGTGGGTTGGGAAGCGACCAAGGCCTTCAGGCGCGTTGTGGGGGGAGACGCAGCCAGTTTTTCTTTCTTGGCCCTTTCTGGTGTCATAAAACGTGGCTTCCGGAATCCTCTGGAAGACTTCTGGCGTGCTGAATTCAAACATGAAAAGCGCACAGAAGACGGAGAATGCGCTTTGAATGAGTTTACGCTCATGCTCAAGAAAGAATTGGATGGTCTGTCCTCCTGAGACGGTCTGGGTGGCATAGAAAGCAGGAAAGACCGTGTCGCAAGATGCCTTCGCCTGGGCGTTATTCCACGGAGCACTTGACCCCAAAGCCTAGACCCTAAAGGCCCTAAGCCCTAAACCCTAAACCCTAAACCCTAAACCCACCCCTAAAGCCCTAAACCCTAACTTTGGCCGGGTTTGGTCCAGGGACGGGTTGATCTTGGGATCTTGCTGCCCTGAAGTTGGAGAAACATCTTTTCCTTTTGAGGAAATGCTTTTATCTATGCAGAATCTGGCGCACTATATGCCTGGTTAATACTCCGGCTTCAACATATATACTGTTGTTGGTACCATCATCGTCATTATGATTGATATCACTTCCGTGGATTTTCTTGCCGTTGGAACCGCTATGTATCCTGCCATTATCAAGCCCAGTATTCTGCGCAGTATCATCAGCAGTGGCACCGTTGTCATTCGGGCATGTTGGCGGTACTTCTGTTACAATTCTTACATAGGGCTGGCGGTGCTATGATGAAACTCGCTGGACTGCACTCTTCATCTGACAACATTCTAACATAACCATAAGGGTTCAGGGTTTAGGGTTTAGGGCTACAATACTAAACCCTAAGCCCTAAGCCCTAAACCCTAAACCCTAAAACCTAAACCCTAAAAATCCCAAACCCTAAACAACCTGATGGGTGTAAAGCCTCGCCTCCCCGCAGCACGCCGAGGATGTACGCTGGCGCGGAGTGAAGGAGGTGTTCGTCCAAAACCTGCCCGCGCGCCGCGCGGCAGCAGGGATGTTGGGGCCTTCAGCCAACGGTACTTCCTAACAAGGGATTTCGTTCACAAGCAGTAAGACATGAGCAGTTCAGAGTGCAACCAAAGCTACGTCTGAAACCGCGACAACCAGGAAATGCCCAATCCTCACAAGACGGACAGCATGATTATGGGATGATGCAGTGTAATCGTCGCAAGACCGCCCCACCAAGAGAAGCAGGAGTGATAAACAGAATGCATCAGCTTCTCCTCCTCCTCCCCTCCTTATCACCATCGTCATCGTCATCATCATCATCATCATCAGCATCATCATCACCATCATCATCGTCATCAACAACAGCATCAGCATCAGCATCAGCATCAACATCAGCATCGTCATCGTCATCGTCATCGTCATCGTCATCGTCATCAGCATCGTCATCGTCATCAGCATCGTCATCGTCATCAGCATCGTCATCATCATCGTCGTCATCATCATTATCACCGCTGTCATCATCATCACCACTTATTCTTTGCAATTCCTTCAGCAAGCTGACAACAGGATCAGCAGTAAGAGTAACAAGTAACTGAAGCATGCTCATAATCGTGATAGTATCAACGATCCTACACCTCGCCCTGCGAAATCCAAAATCCTAAACCCTAAAACCTTTAAACCCCGAAGCCCTAAACAAACCCCGCGACCACCAAGGCATTTCGCAAGGCAAATTCCTAGAGTTCGTGCGATCTCAGGAGGCGGCCTATAGCATAACATATAGTATTATATTAACAAGGACAACATTGCAATAGTGAAATGCTAATACAATATTATTATAGCAGCAGATAAATCTAGCAGTGTAATGGCCTAGACATCAACTGACACAACAGTACAGCAACACAAGAATCTGAGAATACTATTAGCATAACCTCAGAATATTGCAAAGAAGTACAATACAATAAAGACACAGTTATATAGATGTTTAAAGGCATGGCAATACAATAATACAAGATGATGGTCGACTACTGTAACAGCATACGCATGCCAGCATTCTTTCGAGTTTGCCACATATTATGATTACAATAAAAACATGGCAGAATGCTAATAATGTATCACTACAACAGATGATAGTACAATACTTTAATAATATGATAGTACGATACTATAGTATTCTTGGACTACAGACCTACAATGGTATAACAAAAAAGAGTATCAACAGTTACTAGCAAAAAAAGAGTATCAACAGTTAGTGACATACTATCATACTACAAAATATATTTGTAGAATACTATAGGAATATATCCATACAGCCATATCGTGGTACCACGATAAGACGATGATTATATATCAATATAGGAACATTATACAGTATAAAGGAATAGAAAGTTTCCAAACGCTATAGTGCAATAAACTATACGATCGAAGGCAGGAAGCCATGTGAGAGAGTTCAGCGCTTGCGGGTTCGGAGTTATGGTTGTGCGGCTTATGAGTTTGGGGTTCGGATCTGCGTGCGAGAAAGCCTTTCGTGTTCTTTGGACCAGAATGTCGATCGGTGCCACGAGTTTGGCACATTTTCGCACAAGGGGTCATGAGGCGTGAAGGCCGAAATCAAAGAATCGCGCCCTTGAGCCTGCACTCTCCCCCATTATGCCCCCCAATAAGCCGCCCGAGGGTTCGCAGCCCATGCTTCAGAAGGCCTTTTTTCTCTGGAATATCCTGTTTGCTTGTTCTTACCGAAAGTGTGGCGAAGGTTTTCTCCGTGGAGGTGGTTTGGATGGCATGATGTGATGATGTTGATGTGAGCTTTTCTGTCAGGTTGTGGCGAGGTTGTATGGCGTGAGGTTGCATGGCATCGGTTTTCGTGAGGTTGGTTGGCCCTTGAGTCCCGTGAGGTTGCCCATTGACTCTCATCTGTTTTCTCTCTTAATCTAATGTAATATCTCTCAAAATGCGGGGCTGTTGGTGTGAGACGTTGACACTCCTTCCAGTTTGGTCACTTGCGAGTTCTCCAAGCTGAAACTCGTATCACAGAGCTGTAATCGCTAGTTGGGCAGGAGCACATGGCCGATCACCAAGCTGAGGGCCGTTTTTCAGGTTTAAGGTTTAGGGAACTGCCGTATTGACTTCGTCGAGACTTGGGTGATGGTCTGGTGCATGGGTGGCCTGCGCATTTGCCTTAGCTTGACTGCCGACTTCCTTTCCGTCAATTTGATGTTCTGAGCCTTCCCTCAGCACTTCCCTCTGTGTAAACCCCCGAACATCCAGAGGCAAGGCATGTTCAGCGATTCTGGCACGCACCAGTCATACACGCTAATCCCACACCCCCTGCATGAAGCCTCCAAACTCTGCGAATTTAAGACGGCAAATCTCTAAGCTTCCGATTGCTTTGCTTTCAATTGCCCCGCGGATTCCATCAACGCCTAAACCCGAAACCTTCATGTAATTAACTCGGTAAGATTAACGAATCCCCAGTGTTTCGAAGGTGCCACAGCCAGACTTCACCCGCTTCCCTGTGTGCCCTGGCCTGGGTACCGGTATACAGTGTGTGAAAATGACCGTCCGGTGAACTTGCCCCCGCAAGAAGGTCAGAAATTGTTGTTTTTGGCAG